CTTACACGGTTCCATGGGGATCCTTTAGGATTGCATTGGGATCCAGATGAATTTCGCAAGGACCCTATAGGATTACATCGGGAGCCTTGAGGATCGCATAAAAAAGTCCTATGGGAATCCGTAGACCACTTATCATAATCCATAAGGGTCCTATAGGATTCCATCGGGATACTATAAGATGCCATAGGATGCCGTAGGGATCATATAGGATTCCATGAGGATCCTATAGGATTCCATAGGGAACCTATAAGATGCCATAGGGATCCTATAGGATGCCAGAGGAATTCTAAGAGGATTCCATCGGGATCCTGTTCCAGGAGGATCCGATAGGATCCCATAAGGATCCTATAGGATTCCAAAGGGATCCTATAAGATCCCATAGAAACCCGAAGGGCGTCTTAAAGGATCCGACGCCCGTCTGGACAGCCAAAATCGCGAATGCGGACGATTAACGGAGGATTCCACTGAAAGCCTTACGGAAAGGCGCCGGCCATACGTCAGGTGCGAAGACGGCTTCATTCATATACTTCTCTATATACCTGCATGGAGGGCCCTACAAAACTACCGGCTATAGAACAGTGTAAGTTCCCAGCCAAAAAGCAGGTGTAACCCTACGACGACTACCACCAATACTACTACTACTACTTCTCCTACTACTACGACTACGACTACGACTACGACTACGACTACTACTACTACTACTACTACTACTACTACGACTACGACTACGACTACGACTACTACTAACTACTACCAACACTACTAACTAACTACTACTACAACTACTACTACTACTAACTACTACAAATATTCAACTACTACTACTACTACTACTACTACTACTAAACTACTACTAACTACTACTCACTGCGAACGACTACAACAAACCCAAAACATACAAACACGACTACTGGCTACTACAACAACAACAGCAACAACAACAACAACTACTACACAAACGACAACGACTACAGCTACCTACTACTACTAACTACTAACTACTACTACTACTACTCCTACTCCTACTTCTAATACTACTACTACTACTACTGACTTACAGACTACTGACTACTCACTACTTACTACTACTACTACTAACTACAACACACTAACTTCCTACAACTACTAACAACAACTATTACTACAACTACAACAACTACGACCACGACTACGACTACTACTACTACTACTACTCCTACTACTAACTACTACTACTAACTACTACTACTACTTACTACTACGACTACTACAACGACTACGACTACTACTTACTACTTCTACTACACTACTGACTCCCACTCCCACTCCCCACTCCCACTCCCACAACCACTACCACTACCATACTACTACTACTGCTACTACTACACTACTACTACTACTACTACGACGACGACGACGACTACGACTACGACTACGACTACTACTACTACTACTACTACTACTACTACTACTACTACTACTACACTACGACTACTACTACTACTCTACTACTACTACTACTACTATTACTACTACTACTACTACTACTACTACTACTACTACTACTACTACTACTACTACTACTACTACTACTACTACTACTACTACTACTTCTACTACAATTAGTACTACTACAATGGTACCCCAATCATCATATGTTTAGGGCTTTAGGGCTATGGGGCTATAAGACTATTGGGCTAGAAGGCTATGGGGCTATATGGCTATAGGGTTATGGGGCTGTATGGCTATAGGGCTGTAGGGCTATAGGGCTATAAGGCTAGAAGGCTATGGGGCTATTAGGGCTATAGTGCTACAGGGCTATAGGAATATAGGGCTATATCGAGCTACCGGGCACTTGGGTACCCGGGCACCTGGGCACCCAAGCACCCGGGCACACGGGCAACCGGGCACCCGGGCACCTGGGCACCCGGGCAACAAAGCACCCGGGCACCCCCGGGCACCTGGGCGTGCGGCGAAAATCGGCGGCAAACCTAATTTAACCATACGAATCCGCTAGGTTCCCTACAGAGGCAAGCTCTGATTGGGGAACTACGACTACAACTGCGACTACAACTACTAGTAATGCTGCTATTTCTACCGCTAAGGCTACCACTACAACTACTACTACCACGAATGGGCGCGAACGATATACTACTAAATTGAGCCTGGATGCTTCGACAGAGAAGAATGAGGAGGCGGGGACGAAGAAGCTGCAGGATTAGGTTGATAAAAAAGAGTGAGGGGAGATCGGATCCAGGATCGTTGAGAACCTCAGCACCGTGACAAAGGCGGACGGGGGAAGGGAGGAGGCAAAGAGGACGGAGAACGAAGGAGAGGATGGAGGAGGGGAGGGCAGGAGAGGAGGGGAGACAAGGGGGCGAGGGGGAGGAGTATTTGTCCTGCGACCACAGAGCATGCGAGTCCTTCGCGACGACCTGCGTGCCAGGGCAACCACGCTACAAGGCACACCCATCGTTGTCCCCAAGAAGTACCCAACATGGACAGCGAAAGGAAACCGAACATCGCCAAAGAATACGAACATCTACGACACTCACATGGCTACGCCGGCGCCGCCGGCCATCCGACTGCCACCACCGCAGCAAAAGACGCTGCCACCAACATGCGCCGAAGCCAACGTCGAGGTTCTCACACAGGGCCACTTCAGCGGCCAAGCCCCCTCAAGCGGGCATCCTGGTGAAGGCAGCGGCGGCAGCAAGTACAACGCCGACAAGCATGGGGATACGCAAAGAACACCGAGCCATCCCGACCAACGGATAACGCATACGAAAGCCAAAACGCTCATGAATATCCACATGGTGCGATATAAGAAGAATACGTCCCAATCACAATCTTCTTTGGGACGGTCATGAACCACCCCGATAGCGGTATCAACCAGGTCCACAAGGCCTACATGGACTGGAGCCCAGAGGACAAATACAAGGACATCAGCCTGCCGACCACCGAAGGGGAGCACATGCGCATAACATGGATCGAGGCGCCGCCCAACCCCAGGGCATGGACACCGATGGGCTACTGGGCGTGGGGCGAACGGACCCAAGGCGAAGTTACGCACCAGGCGCACGAACAGGGTGAGGACCCCGAGTCACCGCGCCACAATGCTGAGTGAATGGATCCAAGCCGCATGATCGAGTACGAAGCCGATGTCACCCTACACCGACACTATTGTCAAGATGCGCCTCACTACGGACACGAAGGACTTGGACGAGTACCACAGGGCAATATACGATATCATGTACCGCACCATCTACTACGAGAGAACCAAGCACCTTCGGACCTGCCAGAACGAGTCCAACAGCCGCCAGGCTGCGGATACGGGGCCAAGCGACGGCAACCAGGACCACCATCTCTAAGTTTACCATTCCGACACAAGCTATCGACGCTGCCTCCACCCGCCGCACAACCATACAAGGTTGAGCGGCCACCGTGCGCAGGGAGCAGCTGCACCTGCAGCGACGACCCCAACAACAGCTTGGCAACTCCAAACCTTGACTTATGTTGCCTGCAGGACCCGTGGCACGGGCCATCCTCAATGTGAGGAGCACCAATATCAACAATGCCACATTTCCCAGCGTCACACCTCCCCAGCTGCAGCCGCCCACGCGGGGCGCAGCTTTCCCATGCCTCCTCCAGGCTTGCTCCACGACGGCACGACCACTACTCAGCTGGCACCCGCTGCCACCAAGGCAGAAGCAGCAGCAGCCATCATAACGCAGCGGCAGTATCCACACCCAATGACTGTGAAGAGGCAGCGCATTCCAGCACTCCTCACCGTCCCATGCCTCATCCAGGGCGTCCAGCAAGGCGCCACCAGCCTCCAACGCCGCCTCCTCTCACGCCTGCGTCCACATCTGCTACTTCGTGTCCTACGTCCAGCTTCACGTCAACAGCGGCATTCCCTACATACTGCTCCGACCTTGACCTCTACCTGCACCTTGCCCTCATCAGCGCCCCCTCACCGTCCACTTCTAAGGAACCTCAGGCCCTCACCAACTTACTCCTCCCTCGACTCCTTTTTCGCCCGCCAACCTTGACCCCCCGCCCACCCTAACAGCGCTGCACCAGGGAAGGGGGAAGGTCGGGGTGTGAGTGAGACGAGGGGGAGGAGGGAAAGAACCCACGGGTCAGCATCGGCACAGGCCGCCGTGGCGGCACAGTCCCACGGCGGCCGTGGACCACCAGACCGCGCCCAACTAAGAGCCACGCCGAGGAAGCCACCACTCCCCCCCTCGGGTTGTGGTGGCTCCGCTCGGGCCAACTCCTCCTCCCACACGCCCTACTTGTTCCCACCTCTCGCGCTGTTCCCTCCCTGAGCCGCGCACGCCTCACCACCGCCTGCCGCTGTGTCCTATCCACAGCGCCAGTGCCCACTTGCTCCCCCCCTCCCTCCCGCACGGCACACTCCCGCTGCGTCGCCGCGTCGCACCGCACCTGTCGCCTTCCTTACCTCACCCCTGATACCTCGAAGAAGCTGGACGCGGGCCCCCACTTCAGGAGAGGCGAACCAATGTGGGCCTCAGCCCCTCCCAGTGGGCTAGGGCCCACGCTCGGGCCACCTCCGCAACCTCACAGCCTACCACCGGCACACACAGGCGCCATCAACCTCACTTTCCCCTCCTCCCCTGGTGAGTTGATGCTCGACTACGTGACCGTCTCCCTCTTTCTCTCTTTACCTCTTGGTACTCCCCTCCCCCTGGAGTTGGCCAGGCAGGAGGGGTTCGAGAGCTTCAATCGTTCGACGAGATAGTCCGCAACTTCGAGACTTCGAGGGGGAGGGAGGAGGAGGAGGAGGAGGAGGAGGAGGAGGAGGAGGAGGAGGAGGAGGAGGAGGAGGAGGAGGGAGGAGGAGGGAGGAGGAGGAGGAGGAGGAGGAGGAGGAGGAGGAGGAGGACGAGGAGGAGGAGGAGGAGGAGGAGGAAGAGGAGCAGGGGGGAGGAGAGGAGGAGAGGAGAGAAGGGGCATGCAGGACCAGGAGCCCGAGCGGGCGGTTCCCAGCCCACGACCTGTCGAGCGCAAGGCTTGCCGCCGTGCGCGACGTAGTTGCAGCGCAGCGCAAACGCGGCCTCCTCCGAGTGCCCCTCCCTGCGCCGCGCGCACGGCGACGACATCGGCCCTCGCCTCCTGCGGAAAGCCCGCGTCGGCCGCCCCGCCGGTGTTCGGCACTCACCCGTGTTCGCCTCCGACCTGCCTCGCCCAGAGGAGGCAAGGGGTAGTGGAAGGGAAGTGGGACGGAGGGGGGAATGGGGAAGGAACAGGAAAGGGAGGGCAATGGGATGGGGCGGGGGCGGGGGGGAGGGGGAGGGGCGGGGAATGGGAATGAGGGGCAGCGGGAGGGAGAAGGGGGAACGGGACAGGATGGGGAACGAGACGGGGAATAGGAGCGGGGGGGGGAACGGGAGCAGGCAACGGGGAAAACAGGAAAATGTGGGGGGGGGGGGGGGAACTGCGACAGCTGGTACAATGCGGGTCCCGACGACTAGTGAAGTTTCTACAACTGCCACCCCTTGAGCTGAAACGGAGGCTGCGATAACCGTTGCCACGACGATAGTGAGCACGACAACGACGATAACAACTGCTTCTGGACTCTCCAAAACCGCTGCGCCCCGACGCATCCCGTACTCAGCACAGCCGCCCAATGCGAGTCAAGTCCAAGGCCAGATCGTTGAACGCACTGCGCCATGAGAAAGGCGCCATCGTCTACGACCGCACCGACCCTGCTCTGTTCCCTCCTCCTCCTCCTCCTCCTCCTCCTCCTCCTTCTCTCTTCCTCCTCCTCCTCCTCCGTGGCCATTTTGGCTCAAGCCATTTTGGCTCAAGGCCGCCCAAATGGGGTGCCTCCTCCTCCTCCTGTTCCTCCTGTTCCTCCTGTTCCTCCTTCTCCTCCTGGCGTCCGGCTCGGCGCGCTGATGCTCCAATTCCATATCGGCGCGAGCTTGCTGACGGAGCAGCTTGGGGAGAGGCTGAAGAGCTTCGCGAGCGGCTTCAAGGTGGAGGCCGTCAGCGCGGTCATGTGTGATGACGACTACTGGGCCTCAGCTGGGCTACGGCATCAAGGACACCCTGATCGAGCAGAGGGGCCCGACAAGCGCGTACATTCTCGAGATTCGGAGGGAGCATGCGAGTCTGGGCTCCGAGAGGCGCCCACGGACACCGCCGCGGAGGCGTCGGCTACCAGAGGGAGTCTGGATCGAGGACAAGGGCCACAAGAAGGACTCGCAGGACCAGGTCACGCCTCCACCGCCTGGCAAGGTGGGCAACATCTGGATCCAAAAATGGCAGTGCCCGAGCCCGCGTTGCCGCCACGTGAACTTCGGCTTCAGGACGGAGTGCCGCCTCTGCTCGAAGTCGGCGCCAGTACAGGTGCTCAACCTACAGGCCCTGCAGGCGTCGGAGGTGTCGAAGTCGGAGGTGAACCCGCAGGACTCGCAGAAGCAGGGCATCATCCTCTCGGCGGGCACTGTGAAAGTCCCAAGAAGGGGCATCGGAAGAAGGTGAAGGAGATGGATTCGGAGAGGAAGGAGAAGGAGATGACGGAGCAGTGGCTGGCCATCAACCTGAAGACGAAGCTGGCGAGGCGGCTGCTGGAGTCGAAGAAGCGCATCAGGTACTTGGACAAGGAGGCGGAAGTGAAGGGCACCCAAAAGCGGGACTCGCCGTCGGACTCGGAGGACTGGGGCACCTGGGCGAAATGACAGTGCAGAAGTACTACATCGGGGACTGCGACATCGGCGACGTAAGCGCCGGTCAGGACTCGGACAAAGGGGAGTTCAACGCCCTCATGGAGGCGGATTTGCCCGCCGAGGAGGGAGTCGAGACCGCGAGCTGTTACGACAAGCACGAGGGTGAGGAGAAGGACCTGGGGCCGAACACCCAAGGAAATGGGCGGGACAATGACGGCCTACCTTGGGACGGGGAGGAGAACTCGCGCGAATACGCAGGCTGCTCCGTCCCGGAAGACACCGTGAAGATCAAGAAACACAAAAAGGCCAAGAACAACAAGAAGTACCAGAAGAAGGAGTCCCGAGATGGCATCCCCATCGGCACGGAGGACGACATTGGGACGCAGGACCTTGTGGGCAAGAGCGAAGGCAATTTCGAGCACAAGGGCAAGCACAAGGACAGGTGCCAGAACATCGGTATGGAAGACCTGCACGACGACATTCCCACGGAGGTGATCGTCGCTGAGGCCGTGAGGCGCTTCGGCCACGAGTGGGCGGTGAAGCACTTGAAAGAGGAGTTCCAGCAAATGATTGCGGGCGCCTAAGTTCGGCCGTGGTGCTCGGGTCCCTGGGGTTCCTCATCGCCGCTGCTGGTCGCCTCGTTTTAGCCTTTGGGCCGGTTTTCCGCTTGTGGCGGGTCGCCGCTGCTGGGCGCTGCTCGAAAAACTTAATTGTCCGCCGAGGTCGGCTCGTGTGGTGGCGTGGGCTGCCTGCCATGGCTCCTGCTGGCCTCAGACTGCAGGAGTCGTAGCGGGTGCGTGAGCAGAGACCTCAGAGACCTCCTCCTCCTTCTCGTCCTCCTCGTCCTCCTCCTCGTCCTCCTCCTCCTCCTCCTCGTCCTCCTCCTCCTCCTCCTCCTCCTCCTCCTCCCCCCTCAAGCACAGGGGGCCCGAGGCGCGTCGTACCCATTTGGGCTCACACTTGCCATGGGACTCCTTGCTCCGCGCCTCCACGTCGGCGCTTGAGGGGCACTGGGTGACATCCTCTCAACAGCTCTCCCAGTGGCTAAGCGGAGCGAGTTTCGATCGATGTATGGTATATTTCTTTCTGGGAGCTGTCGCACAATAATATATTTTGGTTTGCGGTGCATATTATTCAGAGTCTCTTTCCGGCACCTCTGATTCGGCTTCCATCCCAGGCTGCAGGGACAGCGGGAGCCTTTGTGCATTGACCCAGCGCCTCCCGCCTGGGTGTACCAGTTCGCGTCCACAGTTTTCAAGCTGTATTGGATTGCTAGGGCAAGGCTGTGTACCAACAGCTGGCTTTTCTCATGAGAGTTGCTGTGCAAAGGTATCTTTCAGCATGCTGCGCATATTCTTCTGGCTCTTACCTAACCGTCAATCTCTTCGGTATCCATCCCAGGCGGCAGGGACAGGGGGAGCCAAGGTGCACTGACACAACGCTTCCCGCCTGGGTGTACCTCAATGGGTGGTTGTGCTTGGACAAACTGTTTTTCACGAGTAAGGAGTATTCAATGTGCGTCGCTATACACGTTGTGGTTTGCATGACGGCGCAGCTACATGGCTTCTTGTCACCTAGACTCGCGGTGTTGGTCATACGCTTTGTTTGGCGAGGTGGATAGATTTGTTCGGTATCCGCATGGGCTGAAGGAGTGAACAACATGGCTATTTTCAGTTCATCCTGAAATGCGGCGTGCTGGAGACACTCATCAACGGTATCCATGCATTCCGTAGGCTTCAGCCGTCTCAGGGAGGTGCGTAGGAAAACAATGTTCATTAGTTGGCAATTGGCGGAGCATTATGTGGGAGAGACGATCTCATGTTGGAGCCGTGCGATACTGGTATGCCTGTTCGGAATTAAGGGTTGCCCGATGACCAGTGGTGCTGCATCGCTATAGCAGGCCGCATCGAGTTGACCTAGTTTGTGTTTGGTCTGATGTAATTCTTTGTGTGTAATGAGGTAGTCATCCGAAGTGTAAACGGGCCTGTGACCATTTCACGCTTCGCGTACGGCATGGGTTTCTCGGTCGATTCCCTCGGACTCCAAGTATCTGCCTGTTCTACGTCGTCTGGTTCGGCTACTTCTTGTTCGTGGTCAGTGGGCGTTGGCCAAATCAAACCCGAGCAGACGGCTTGGGTGGTGGTTAGGTCATTTTACTTCACGTCGCGATAGGTCCATTACATTCCATTCCTTCTTCTCCTCCTCCTTTTCCTCCTCTCCTCCTCTCCTCCTCTCATCGTCCCCCTCCTCCTCATCCTTCTCTCCATCTCCTTCTCTTCATCGTCGGATCTCCTCCTCTTCCCCCTCCTCCTGATCCTGAGCCTCATCTCCTCCATCCACCTCCGCCGCGTGCTCCAATGTTGTGCAGACATGCCGATCCCAAGGGGGCCCTGCCAAGAGTATTCCGTGACGCGCCCAACATGGATACCTTCATGCATATTTTCTTCTTATGCGTACGCTTTTTCTAAGCCGTTCCAATGGCACTGCAAGATGTATTCCGTGACGCGGCCAGTCCGGATCACCTCAAGCATAGAACATGTCGCTCGGGAAGGATCCTCCTCCTCCTCCTCCTCCTCCTCCTGCTCCTGCTGCTGCTGCTCCTCCTCATCCTCTTCCTCCTCCTCCCCGCCCCTCCACCGAGGCAGCCCCTCCCATCCCGCGTTGCCTCGCCCCGGAGGTATCTCCAGGGGCCCGGGGGCCGGCTGTTCGGCTTCGGGGCGGCGCTTCAGTCTCGCAGGGTAGAGACTGCGTGCAGTCTTACTGACGAGGGGCGGACCATGGCTCTGGGCCGAGGAAGGGAGGGAGCGAAGGAGGGGAGGGAGGAGGAGCCCGTCCCCTCACTTCCTCCCCCTCGCTCCCGCGGCAGCATGCCGATCAGATCTCATCCTGTCGCCGCCCCTTCTGGCGGCGGGGAGATGGACGGGGTGGGTTTGAGCAAGGCTGGTCAGGGTCCTCCCCTCCCCCCTCTTCCCGCCCAAGTCCGTTCCCCTCCCCTCCTCCCCTCCCCCTTCCCCCATCCTTTGTCGCCACACACCCTGCGTCCTTCCCAAGCCCCCCAGCCCCTTCCCCCCCTCCCCCTCCGAAATTCTTCCACTCCCCCGCCCTATCTCATCCCCCGCCTCATCCCCCCTCCCCCTCCCTTCTCGCCCTCCGTCCTGCGGCCTCGAGCTGGCCCCCTCCCCCTCCCACACCGAGGGGCGATCTGAGCTGGAAGATCGGGTCGTGCCTGGCACTCCCTGGCCTGTCCCGCAGAGGAGGGGGGGCAGATAGAAGGAAGGGCCGAGGGAGGAAGAGGAGGGAGGAATTGAGGACAGTACAACCCACCCCCACCCCCAGCCAGGACCCCCACTTTCGATCTGGTGATCCAAGGGGTCCTGGCTGGGGGTGGGGGTGATGCTTGGCCCCCAAGAATGCCCCTAAAACATCCCCCACCCCCTGCCAGGAACCCTGGATTACTAGGTGGGGAGCGAGGATCCTGGCCGAAGGTGGCTGTGGGCTGTGCTGTCCCCAGTAGTGAAGATGAGGATGGGCGAAGGGGGAAGGAGCGAGGGAGTGTCGAGGGAGGCCTGTAGGGAGGCAGGATCGCTCCTGGACCCCTGGTCCCTTGGAGGACTCGGCGCACGCAGGCCCCTCCCCCCCTGCGAGCCTTGATGGGGTTGCAGTTGTGCCAGTCGTAGAAGCGGCGAGCCCGCACCTGGGAGGTGGACCTCCCCCTTGCGGGGGGAGGAGGAGACCGCGAGGGAAGGGAGGAAATGGGACGAGGGGGAAGGGAGAGGATGGGAGAGGGAGAGGGAGGGAGGGACGGAAGAAGAGGGTGCGAGGGAGGTAGGGAGAAGGACAGAACAGGGGGAGCGATAGAGACAGCGAGAGAGAGAGAGAGAGAGACGACGACGACGACGAAGACGACGACGATGACGACGATGACGACGAGGACGGACGGACTGACGGACGGACGGACCGACCGACGACGATGACGACGGACCGCCGGACTGACGGACCGACTGATTCATGGGCCGACAGGCCGACGGACCGACGGACCGACCGACGACAGGCGACAAACGACCACGGACGACGACGATGACGACGACGACGACGAGAGAGACAAGAGAGGACGGGGAATAGAAGAGAGGATGTAAGAAAGAGGAGGGGAAGTGAGGGAGACAGGGGGAAGGGCGACGGCGCGGGAGAGGACAGGAGCACGTTCAAAAAATAGGCAAGAGAGGAGGAGAGGGGGAGGGGGGGACAAAGCGCAGAGATAGAGGAAGAAACAACTGCATTCGCATAAACTGCCGGAGCTTCGCGTGGACTTCTTAGATCGGAGATGGGCCACCCTGACAGCGCCTCCAGCGCCGCCCCTGGCGCGCTCCGCGCGCCAGGGGGGAGGGCTCACCGCCGAGCCAAGAAATCCGAATCCGCGGGGAGCTTCAACAACTCATGCATGTGTCTTTGTTTGTTCTTCGATGCAAAGAACGGAGACGGAAACTCACGGGCCGGATAAGCAGCTCGAGAATTGCCGCGGTCGACAATGTGTTGCTGACAGCTCGAGGTGATCCGAGCAATCGGCACTGAGACGCCACCGAATCAATCACCCAAATGATTGACCCCTGCTGACCAACTGTCACCCCAACCGTATGTCACGTAATCGATGCGCCAAGTTTGCAGGAAATGCCAGAAGGACGACGACGAGGGAGAGTGAGTGGGCAGCGTGGTTGCCAAAAACAGCTGTCACTCGCATTGGCTGTTTAAACTCTGGCAGAAGAAAAAATTTAAAGCACGGCCGACGGGGAGGAGAGAGACAGGAGGAAACCAAATGGCGACTGAAACGAGTTGGTCTTCAAAGCGTATCGTGCCGCGGTTGCACGTTATAGCCCGTGCCGCATGGCCCAAACGGCCGCCACAATGAATCCAACACAACAGAAGATAAGGGAGGAAAGAGGAGGAGGAAGAGAAGGAAGAGGAGGAAAGCAGGAGCGACCGATCGCCGACCTAGCATTTTTTTCGAGCAGCGTCCAGAAATAGCCGTTGGAGATCACCCCCCTCAACATCCTCCTGTGTCCTCCCGCCCTCCTCCCTCCTCCCTCCTCTCCCTTCCCCTTCTCCCGCCTTCCTCCAAAGCCTCACACTCACTTAAACTGCCCTCAGCGCGCTGCTTCCAGCGTTCTGCTCACCAAAAAGCGGCCTACTGGAGGGAAGCCGCGCCAACGGTGACCCTGGCCGGAGGATCACACCGCATCGCCGATGGCGATGCATCGGCGACGTCGGCGAAGAGAAAATCGGGCTGCACATCAAGCCGCATCGCCGATGCATCGGCGAGACGGCGCGACCCACCGACCCCATCCACTCGGACCCCACTGAGGAGGCCTAGACTGTCCCAGCCCTCGGCCGCGGCCGCGGTCGTGGTCATCGTGGTCGTGGTCGTGGTCGTCGTGGTGGTTGTCGTCGTCGTCGTCGTCGTCGCCGTCGCCGTCGCCGTCGCCGTCGCCGTCGCCGTCGCCGTCGCCGTCGCCGTCGCCGTCGCCGTCGCCGTCGCCGTCGTCGTCGTCGTCGTCGTCGTCGTCGTCGTCGTCGTCGTCGTCGTCTACTCGGACCTCATCTGGGAGGCCTGCCTGACCATCGCCAGCCCCACCGCCGCGGCGGCTGCGCGAGGCTGGGGCGGGGCTAGGCGGCAACGATAGGGAGGGACTGGCATACGGGGGATGCGTCGACCTGGAATCGGCGATACATCGCCGATAGATCGGCAATAGGCTCCCGATAGTGAATCCGCACCTTCCTGGGCAGGTTGGGGCTATCGGGCTCCTATCGGCGATCAATGGGCGATTCGGGGTCGATGCATACCCCCCTATGCCTATCCCCCCCTATGGTTGCCCCTGAGGGGCGCCTCGTCGTAGGTGGCCCGGAAGCAGGCGTGCACCTCCTCCTCGGCCGGGCGCCGCTGACAGCCCGCTCGGGCACGGCACCCTGAACATCGTTTAATCGATCCCCCAAGGGAGGTTCGTGTCGTGCAGACTTCGGCGTTGGTTCGTGACATCCCGCGGTCTCAACCTTGAACGATCTGCCGTTTCAGAAATGCCAGATCGTTCAACATCGACCGATTCTGGGTCGCCAGCGGCGTTCAACCTTGAACGCTGGCGGAGGGGTCGCCGCAAGTCGACACGACGCGAACCTACCGTATCCCCACTGGGGTGGCCTGGGCCACACTGGCCGATTCACCCCCCAGATGGGGCTATAGACTGTCTCCTTCGGGGTTCGGGGGGCCTGTCCCCAACTGGGGCGAAGGGATGGTGGGGATGGGGACTGGTTACACGATGCTGACACCTTTCCACTTCGACACCCCCTGCCCTGATTCACTCGGTCCGCGGTCCTGCACCAGACTGGTCGTGCAAATCCTGTAGGTCTGGCGCCGATTGGGGCAAAGCGCATCGGGCGGAAATCCGCCCGAAACAAGTGGGGTGCACATCGGGGGGGCTGTGCTAAGCGCCTAGGTGAGGGGCAACAGCCCACCTGGGGCTCAGCGACAGGGCACACCACCGTAAAACGACAGGCAGGGATGGGGGAGCAGGAGGAGGAGAAGGAGGAGGAGGAGGCGGAGGGACAGGGGGAGGAGGAGGAGGAGGAGGAGGAGGAGGAGGAGGAGAAGGAGGAGGAGGAGGAGGTTAGAAATGAGTGCACACAAAAATAGATGATACGTTTCCAATACCGAGCACAACACATAGAAAACGAATATAGCACGGGCGAGGGGGTTGGCCGATCGCCGTGCCCCCGAGCCAAAATGCGATGGAAAAGGGAGACATTCCGGGCCTCCTGGAGGGACATATGAACATCCAATCGTGCCCCCCCGGAAGGACATACGAACATCGTTTCTCAAAAAGCACGGAGGAGGCAGATCTACCGTTGAAATCTGGTGGTCAAGCGGGCCTGATGCACCTCGCAGGTTTAGGAATGCAAGCCGCGCACAAATTAGCGAAGCACAAGCAAGCCAACAGTGCGATGGACAAAGGCCTTATACGAACCAGGCTCCTCATAAACAAGTTGCGCAGCTGAGGCCTTTTACTGACCAGACCCAGCACGAAAGTGCACTGAGGAGAGGATATGCACCTGGTGCTCCACTGACTGGGCATAGACCGTTGCGAGGCGGCAAACAATTTTGCTGGAGCACACCGTGACTAATCCCACCAGCCCTTCAGGGCGTAGGTGGTTTATGGCGTTTCCTCATCCACCCCTTTTTTCATCACATTCGGGGAGGGGTTTACCCTTCCCCCTACCCCCTCCCCTGGACATGGGCGGGGCGTTTCGCGAGCGGTCGGCGCGTCCAAAACGGCCTCGGCGAAGAAGCCACAATCATTGGTTGTACAAAGGTTTTGGCATCATTTTGGTCTCTTGGGGGGCGGCGCTAGTTGAGACCTTCCTTCTTTGATCGGTTTCCTCCAAGATGGCCCCAACAACGCCCCCAAGGCTCCCAAGGGTGCCCCAAGAGGGCCCCAAGAGGTGGCCAGGAGGCCCCAAGCATGCCCCCAAGAGGCTCCCAAGAGACCTCCAAAAGGCCCCCGAGAGGCACCCAAGACGCTCCAAGAGGCCTCGGCGAGAATTCCAATTTCAACGATTGTAGTAGTAAGGTTTTGGCCACATGTTGGCCTCCTGGGGGGGCACTGCTTAAGATGTTCCAAGAACCCAAAAATGACCTCCAATATGGTTCAACATAACCCAAGATAAATCAGGATGGTTCCCACAATGTTCCAAGAGGCCCCAAGACCGCTCCAACGCGGCTCCCAACGGCCATAGAGCTCCCCCAGGAGGCCCAGAAGAGGCCCACATCCTTCCAAAACCTTGCGGAAATCCGTGTTTTTGACTTTCTCGCCTTCTCGCTTCCGATGGCCGTCCGAAGCTTCAGGATGGATCCAAGATGGCCCAAACGAGCGCCCTCAAGGCTCCCAAGAGCGCTTCAGGAGGGCCCCAAGAGGCGCCCAGGAGGCCCCAGGAGGCCCCAACAGGCGCCCAAGAGGCTCCCAAGAGACCCCCACGAGGATCCAAGAAGCTCTCTGAGGCACCCGAGACGCTCTAAAAAGCGACCGGGGCCGCCAAGAGGCCCCCAAGACGCTCCAAGAGGCCTCCACTGGGGGACCCTTCCTCTGCGTGTTGCCCACTTCCCTGATCGAGGCAATTCCTCTGGGCATCCTTCTGGATGGGCTGGTGGGGTTGCACTTTTGATCGCGACCGCGGCGAAGAACGGGTCGGGCGGCGTCAGGGCACTGCGAACGAGCAACGGCCTAAATTAGCGCAAGGGAAGAAGAAGGGCGAAAGAGAACAATAACAAGCAGTGGAGGAGACAAGCAAGAGGCGAGCCTCGCTGGCGCTCAGGAGGCGCACGCCAGGGCGACGTGCAGCACCTGGCGGTAACTCGGGCAGCCCATCACGTCCCTGACGAGGAAGACCGCCGGCAAGGCGAACGGCAGGCCCAGGTGAAGACGAGGGATGCGGCACCTTGATAGCGAGCCACCGTCCCAAAGGAAAGACGGGGCATGCAGGCGCTCGACGGAAGCGTTCCGGATAAACCAGACACCGATTCATTCCCGCTCTTGCCTGCGTGCGCTTCCCCTGGTTCCACAAACTAATTGCGGGCAGCTCGGGGCTCCTTGCCGACGCCGACGATATGAACGTCGGATCGAACGACCAATTTACATGGTCAGCTACACCCACATGCGGATGCAATGAAGGCGATGAGTCCTTTGCCTCTTCCCCCATCGGGCTTCCGCAACACATTGCGAATAGCTTGGGGCCCACGGGCGAGTGCCGTGAAGTCGAGAGAATCCCGAACACCTCTAACATAGCTCGGAAAGTACCCGAGGGGAAGAACACGCGGGCGTGGGGCGCGGACCTCCTTGTGGGTGATGCCCTCGATGTCGTACCGGTGCGCCTCCCCCGCGGTGATGATCGGGTAGAGTGTCGCAATCTCGGTGAAAACGGTCCTGCGTGCCAGGCGCGCGGCAAGGGGAATATCGCGGCGTCCTTGTTGAAGCCGTCCTTCAAATGGTTGCACATCACTACGGAACGGGGGAGCCTTCACCATCGAGGCACGGCAGCGGGGAGGCGACATGGCTACGCGTGGAAGGGAACCGAAGCTCCGCTACCAAGTAGAAGTGAGGGCGCGCAGAGATAGATGATACGTTTTCACCATCAAACGCAGGAAATAATACGAGTATAGCACGGGAGCGGGGGGCGGCCCACCTTCTTGCCCCCGGAAAGAACGCGGGCCTCCAGAGGGACATATGAACATCCGATCAGGGCCCCAAGGAGAGACAGATGAACATCAGATTAGCAAACAGGGAAAGGGCAAACCTACCGTTCGAGTACGAGGAAAGGGGGAGGAGGCGGAAGAGGAGGAGGAGGAAGAGGAGAAGGAGGATAAAGTTGTTGGGTACGGGCCTCAAGCCAGGCGATCCATGATCAAACAAGATTGGACGCCGCTGAGTACGACTCTTCTCCAAGGAGGGGTCAGGAGGAGGAGGAGGAACAGCAGGACAGGAGGAAGCGAGGAGGAGGAGGAGGAGGAGGAGGAGGAGGGGAGGAGGAGGAGGAGGAGGAGATGCAGGAGGAGGAGGAAGAGGAGGAGGAAAAGGAGGAGAAGGAAGGGGGAGGAAGGAAGACGAGGAGGAGGGAGAAGGGAAGATGAGGCCGAGAGAGCGAGGAGGAGAGAAAAGAAGGTGAACCGGCAGGCGCAGGCGAAGGGCACCTCGTGCTGGGGGACGCCTCCCGTCAGCGCTCTCGCCCCGGCGCTGGGGACGTGAGCGGCCCCTAAGCGAATCCCTGGCGAGGAGCGTGGGGCAACTCAGTCTGTGGGTGGCGCAGCAGCTTCCTCACGCGCCCTGATGACGCCGCCAGCGCCAGCATCCCGGGTGTCGAGACGAGGCGCGAACGCGAGGACGACAGTCCTTCTGCGTCTGAGGAGGAGGCGGCCTGGAGGACACACCTTGCCGAGTTCACGCCACGCAAGGATCCGCCAAACGAGCGTCACTGTGATAGTGTGGGTGGCGTCTCTGCTTGAGAGCGACGGGGGGCGGCGGTGGAGGCCCGCAGCCATCGAGCTGGTCGAGCTGCGGGCAGCCCACTGCCCTGTCCCTCCTCCCGATAGGTCCTCCTCCTCCTCGTCCTCATCCTCATCCTGCGCCGTGCTGCTGTGCGCATTGGTACGTCATCGAAGCGCTACCGGTGGGGGTGGCAGAAGAAACGTAGAAGGCGACCAAGAGAAGCGCCAAAGAGGGGACAAGTGGTCGTGGAGGGGGGGCCATGCTGAATGAGAGAAGGGGGAACACAAGGAGAGGTTGTGGGCTGCAGCCTGTGCCGCACACAAGAGACCGATGCTCCAATGTGCTTGCTCTAGGCCTCCTCCTCCTCCTCCTCCTCCTCCTCCTCCTCCTCCTCCTCCTCCGCATCCTCCTCCGCATCCTCCTCCTCCTCCTCCTCCTCCTCCTCCTCCTCCTCCTCCTCCAATCCCCCTCCTCCTCTTTCCACTTTTGACGTTGGCTAGACTCGGAGCGACAGACCTCTTCGCCTCCCTTTTCCTCCTTTTCCTCCTCCTCCTCCTCAACCGATGAGCTGCCCCTTCTCGCCTGCCGTCCTTGGGAAGGCTCAGGGGGCGAACGCAGACGGTCAGCAGGAAAAAGTAGGTGGCGCCACCGAAAATCCTTCGGGGCGGTGCAGACCAGAAAGACAGGGTGAGGGCGGGCACGGGGGACAGAGAGAAGCGGGAGGAGGAGCGGGAGGGAGGGAGGGAGGGAAAACGAGAGGAGGAGGAGGAGAAGGAGGAAGAAGAGAAGGCTGAGGAGGGGAAGGAGGAGGAGGACGAGGAGGAGGAAGGGGGAGAAGGGAAGGGGGAAAGATGAGGGCAAAGGAAAAGGGAAGGGGAGGAGGAGGATAATGAAAAGGAGGAGGATGCGGAGGAGGAAGAGAGGAGGACCAGGAGGAAGAGGGGGAAGAGGAAGAGGAAGAGGAGGAAAACCAATCAGCGTACACCCAAGACTCATCAAAGATATTGAAGTCAACCCTCCCTTCAAGTTTCCTCTTCATAGGCACCTGCAAAGATTTAGTCTCACTGAAAAAAATGCCCCGCTGGAAGACAACCGTTCGAACATCTGAGCTGCGCCAGAACACCACTACTGGGACTTCAACGCCGCGAATCACCGTTACTGTTGCGAGTTGGCGATCCCGAGTCGCACCAGGACACAATGCCTGAGACTTGAACGCCATGAAGCAACGCAACTATTGCGTTACTGCTGTCCGACATCGTGCCAAACACCATGTCTGGGACGTTCGCCATGAGAATCCTTGAAACGACTCCAACTGCTTAGAACGAATGTGTGCGGCGCTAAAGCGAGGAGCCACATTTTGGAAAAAGAACCGCCCTCCATTCGTCAATCTCTGGCATGTTTCAAACAACAAGTGTGCGCGGCGCTGAGGCGAGAATCAACACTTGAAAACAGCTTGCTCTGATTTCCTGAAGCTGTTGCACATTCTCAGGCTAAGGAACATACATGGCCGACGCGCCCGGCCCGCCCGACCAACGCGCCTCATAGTGCGACAGGGATGTTATAAGGAAGAGGCTCAAAAAGGAGGAGGAGGGATGAGGAGGAGGCGGAGGGAGATGGAGGTGGGAGGGGGAGGGCGAGGGAGGAAAAGAACGAGGAGGAGGAGGAGGAGAAGGAGGAGGATGAGGAGGCGGCGGCGGCGGCGGCGGCGCTCTGCAGGTACACGAGTCTGACAGCTGAAACTCGGGGGGATTGGCTGAACAGCTCAAATGCCTAGAGCGCGCCACAAGACAGCGGTGCATTCGCACGGTGTGTGGGGGGGGGGCTCGGCGCGCCAAAGCTAACCCAGAACGGAGATATCCCTGGGGCCAGGCCGCGCGGAAGCCTCAACAAAACTAAGCAGACCACTAACTCGGGCAGTGGCATCGTTTCGAGCCCAGGGAGAAAAGGACCAGGAGACAGCAGGAAACGCAAGAAAAAAAACGGCCCAGGCGGGAGGGGTCCTGGAACCAGGACAAGCGACAGACCCGAGGTCCAGGGGAGGAGGGCAGCGCGCCCCCACAGGGCCAGGCGCCACCCCAGGCCAGGGCCCCAGCGGCCAATCAGGCCCCCTCCCCTGAACCTCTAGCCCTCGCGGCAGCTCCCCTCAGCGGGCCCCCGATGAGGCGGCAAATCGCATCGTCAAAAGAAGGGGAGTGGGCAAGGCGAGGACGACGAGACAGCTCAGACGACGAGGAGAAGAGGGAGGGACGGGGGAATGTGGAGGCCCGCTTAGACGTGCGGGGCCATCTGCTGGCCGTGGCTGTCCACGGGTGGCTGGAAGTACTGGCGCAGCTCTTCTGCCCGAGCCACGAGAGACGCGTGTTGTTGTAGACTCAGAGAGGCTCGCGGTGGGAGTGTCCACTCTGCTCAGTACTGGACGAGAGGTATCATCATCCTTTTGCCATCTCAGAAGTTCTCCACGCCGTCCAGTTCCAGCAGCATCAGGCGCTCCTGGTGTGAGCGCGATGGTGTTCCCGTCATGATCTTCGCGCCCAACTGCACAGGGCTCGAGAGGACATCCGCTTTTATGTTCGACCCGCTGGCCTCCAGGTAGATCTTCATCGTCGCGCGGTCGTGGGTGTGGGAGATGCGGCAGTACTTCGCCTGGCCCGCCAGCACCTCGCTCGTCATCCCTGGGTCCGCGCGGACGTGGTCCATGTAGGTCTTGATGCGCTCCGCGTTCTGTGCTCCCACCTGGTTGCCTTGCTGCTGCAAGGCCCCGACGAATGTTAACCACAGGTGTGGATGGGGTAAACCGAGCTTTTCCAGATGGTCCACCTCGATGCCACTATGAATATCCTGTCGGTGCTGCTCACTGAGCCTCTGCGCCTCCGGGACAAAGTAGCGGCCCGTGAGCTGCATCGCCTGGCGCGCGGCGCGGGTCGCCGCCAGGTGGGCGATGTTGCAGACCGTCGATTCCAGAGCAACCAGTCCCTGACGCGTGCGCAGTGCTGATCGGAGAAGAACAGGCATGAGCGCCTGCACCGGGGCCAGCGGCATCGGCTCATCTTGCAGTCGTGGCGCGTCGCCTCGCTGGAGGCCGTAGTTGTTGTTCGCGCCGTCGAAGAGCTGAGCGAGCACCTGCCCGATGTTGCCCAGGGGGGGCAGCTTGCTGCCGATGCTGGCGCTGCTGTGGCCGCGGTGGTGAGGGGGCGGCGCCCGCGGCGGCTGCTGCGACCTCGGCGGGCGCTGCGGCGGGGGCTGCCACTCCTTGGGAGGCTGCCGGCCGCTGGGGCCGCCCCGCCGGGGCCCGCTGGCGCCCTCGACGAGCTCCTCCGATCCGTTCGCCGCTGCGGGAGCGCAAGGCGCGGGCCCTGTCGCCGGCGCCCGCGCTGAGGGCGCGCGTGGCCATCGGGGGGTGTCTCGTAATGGATCAAATCTGGGGCTGGCGGCGCGTGCACGTCGCGAATGTGAAGCTGAAGTTCTGCTAAACTGTCGAAGGGTGTAATCCTCTTCAAGCCATGTGGCACGTTGCGCACGAAACACTGGGGCGCTGCATCGAAGTCCAAGCAGAATGGGCAGCGCAGATCTGGCGGTGCGATGGTATCTGGGACACGCGGGCCCCAGTCTGTCCAGCACCTGCGTTTTCTGAATGACGTGGCAACGCGTCTCTTGGCTGCGACCTGGCTCTTGAAAGTCGCCACGCCATGCGGGCGCTGATTGGCTACCGCCAGGAGGTGATCAGGGGCCCTCAGCTCACGAGCGGGATGATGGGCCCGATGTGCTCTGAGCGCGGCTCTGCTGTATAATATTGCCCACAGATGCCTTCAGCGCCTCCTCCAGGGAGCTCGCAAACAGGGGCCTCTGGAGGAACGGGATCAGGGTCATCGCGACGGTTACCTCTGCGGGGGCCTCGAAACGCAGGTACTCTGCGTAGCTTCTCAGGGTGGAACCGGCCAAGAACCCTTCCCACCGTGTCCCTTGTGAACATGTCCCTCGCCGGGTGCGCCTCCAAGAACTCTGAGCCCCCCTCCAAGTACTGCAGGGCCTGGAGGTCCTTCTGGACCTGCTGAGCCCGCGGGTTGGTCTTGGGCCTGACGGACTTGTCCTTGAGGAAGGTGCCGTCCTCCTCCGAGCCGTCGAGGGCCCCGAAGAGGGCTACCAAGGGCTGGCTGCTATCTTGGGGGTGCTGCGCGAACCTTTGCCATTGGCGAAGCCATCGCATTGCCATCTCAGCCTTGGAGCTGGTCTTTCTCATTTTTGCAGAACGGCAGCCTCTGGTAGCGAATGGTACTTCAGTCGGGCCCCCTCTGGCGCAGCGGCAAATTCTGGCATGCGGCCCCTCAAAACCACGCGTGCAAATTCAAGCACAACTGTGTCAAGCTCGCGAAGGTCCTGTTTTCCAGGCAGGCAAGTCTCCAGTCCAGAGTAGGCCGTGGAGAGAATAATGCCTTTCAACGCCATCCTCTGCAGACGAATAAAGTGAGTCACCTCCCAGAACCTCCCCATCCTCTAAGCTGACCGCGCGGCCTCCACCCTCCTCCTGAGTTCCGACGCACTGCCTCCCGTCAGTTGTTCCATCCCGCCAAAGCACAGGATCTCCGCGGCAATAACGCCGGGCACTGGCACGCCGCGAGAAAGCAAAACTCGAGCGGCCACGTCCGCGCCAGGGCCCGCCATGACAGACACGCAGGTTTCTTCGTCAAGATTTTGCGCGCACCCACCTCCTTCCTCCGGTTCTGGTCAAAGGTCGACTTCGATTCCTGGAGTCCGCCCAGGGCCTCAGTGGGGTTTGGGGCGCGCAGGGGTAGAGTTTCATGCATGTCATCCGCGTTGTCCCTAACCGAAGCGTCGCGTACCTCATCGGTCAGCGCACGGGTCACGAGGCTGGCCGCGCACGCAATCCCCACTGGCGCAACCATGTTTGGCGTCTGGAAAAATTTGGGCGATCCAGCAACTGGTCACGCCAAGCTTCGACCGGTCAAAGCATGCTAACGAATCGTTCGTAAGCGCTCCCGCCCCATCCCAGATCCATGAGTAGGATGGTAATTGCCCGTCTCCGCTCCCGCCCGAATCTCCACCGCAGCCCCCTCGCGACGTCGGCTGAAGAAGACCCTATCTTGCGGGGGCGGAATGACAGGGCTCACCGCGCGAGCAAGTTCGGCATGGGAGGTCGCGGGGAATGCAGTCGACGAAAGTTCTTGACCTGGATGTGAGTGACCCCAGCTTCTTCAATCGCCAGCTGCGTGCCTTCGCCACGAGTTGCACATTCTCTGCGTCAATGCCGAGCACGCCCACGAGCATGAGGAGTTACGGGGGGTGTTCACTGCGAAGGCAAAGGCCCCGACGCCACGCTTTCCACATGACAATGACACTGGATGAGTCCGATAGCTTTGGCCCCCTTCGTTTTTGATTTCGCTTGGAGGGCTGGAAGGTCCCACTTCAGCGCCAGCAGACGGGGGTCCTTGATTTGGCCCGAAGCTGTCGGAAGAAGCGAAGAAGGCGTTCAGTAAGCTGCGGGCAATCCACGCGGATGTGGGCCTTCCCCCCCCGCGCTGCTTATCTGAAGGATGCCCCGTGAAAGGCAAATTGCCAGATTTCTGCTTGGGCGCGCGCTGAGAGAACCAGCGCCATAGTTCAGCAGGAAGAGAGTGGCTCGGCGCGAAGCGGCGCCTGAC